CGCACGCCCGTACCATCCGCCCGGCTCTGTAAGGTTGGCGTCCGGGCAGTGGCCGCGCCGCGCTCGTGCGCGTGTGTGGGAGCCCGCGGGGTCTCAGTTCGCGCGCCAGGCGTGTGCGGAACCCCGGGGTCGGGGGGCAGAGCATTCTCGAGGTCACCGGTGGCGGTGCGGGTCAGGCCCGCCCGTGCCGCCGCCGGCTTCTGGTTTGGGCATCCCCCCCACCTCCTTCAGGGCCACTTGGGGGGGAAAGTGCTATCCAAGGGGACAGAAAATGTTGGGCGAGCGCGCGCGCGCGAGTGGCAGTGTGGGCGGGCGTGTCTTTTGTGTCGCGTGCGTTCCCGCGCAGGTGGGCAGCTCGCGCCCAGCAGTCACTGTACCGTGGGGCCCAGGACCTCGAGCTCTGCTTTCCGCGTCCCAGTGTCGGGCCGCCCTCTTGTACCGATAGCATACCGTCCACCTAGTGGTAGCATCGGCTCCAGGGATGCTTTATTGGGGGGCAGTAACGGGACTTTTCGAAGGACCGCTCTTTGGAGCCTGGCCGCTGGCATCACAGCTGGGCGCCTTTTCTTCTCAACCCGGAGAGGGAAAAGACTTAGGGACAGTGGTTGTCCTCGTCTGATAGGTACAGAGAAATGTCCCAAGCCAGCCAGTCCCGCATTAGACAACAAAGAGAGGCGTTCGCCGCGGCGGCGGCGGCGGCGGGGGAGGGGCGCGGCCGGGAGGAGGCCGGGGCGGGCTGCGGCGAGCTCGGTGGGGGTGGCGCTGGCTCTTCGCTCGCTCAGCCCCGGCCTCCGCCCGCCCCCGGCCTGGCGCGCGCCAATCGCCTCCCCCAGCGATAGTGTCAGTAGCATTGTAGTGTCAGCTCCCGCCGGTGACGTTGCGCCTCCCTCGTCCCCCTCCGGAGCCGTCTGGCTGCAGAGGCTCAGTCAAGAGGCGGGTAGGAGAGGAGGAAAAAGCGCTGAGTGAGGGCGGGAGGGAGGGAGGGAGGGAGGGAGTGGAGGAGCCGGGGAGGGGCTCCTTAAAGAAACGCTGCTGTCGCTCGCCTGCTCGCTTTGCGCTCGGCATTGTGGCCAGCCAGCCGGGCACTCGGGGGGCACGCGCGGCCGCCGCTCGAGCTCTGCCCCCACCCCAACCGCCAGCAGATCTGGGGTGGGGACCCAGGCGGGGGCTCTTGCAGCCACTGCCCGGTGCGGACTGCACGCAGAGACCCACTCCTCCCGGAACCGAGAAAGGAGCCACGGAGCCCTCCGCAGCCGACCGGCCTCCCCGCCCCTGACCACCGTCTTCCCGGCTGCCTTTGTGGCTGCAGCTTCTGGCTGCCGAGCGGAGAGCCGGCTGGGGCGCGGCGTGCACGGCGGAGCAATGCCCAGCTCGCTGTTTGCAGACCTGGAGCGCAACGGCAGCGGCGGCGGCGGGGGAGGCGGCGGCGGGGGAGGCAGCGGTGGCAGCGGCGGGGGAGAGACTCTGGATGACCAAAGAGCCCTGCAGCTTGCGCTCGATCAGCTCTCTCTGTTGGGGCTGGACAGTGACGAGGGTGCCTCTCTGTACGACAGCGAGCCGCGCAAGAAGAGCGTGAACATGACCGAGTGCGTGCCGGTACCCAGTTCCGAACACGTCGCTGAGATCGTAGGGCGGCAAGGTGGGTCCGGCAGGGATGGGAACCGGAGGGGTGTGTAGGATCTCGGGCCGCCGCCTCACTGTGAGGGCGGGTGCAAGATCGCGAGCTGTGGCGCGGGGGAGCCTTGAGGAGGGAGGAAGAGCCGCGCGATGGGGCCAGCGCACCAGACAAAGAAAGTGCAGGCAGGCTGTCCTCCACAGCGGCGCCAGTGCCGCGGCGGGATGCACTTTCTCCTGCTAAAATCACTGCCTTCTCCTCTAACGCTCCAGACTTAGTCCACCCTAGGAAAGATAATTTAAATCTAAGATACTGGGGGAGGGGGGTCTCTGGTGGTCCTTTGGGAAGGGGGAGGAGGGGGGAGCGTCCGATGGGTGGAGGATTCAGGATTTCTGCAAAGGGGAAGGGAATGGAGTCCAGGGAAGGAACAATGGGTCCCAGGACTACCATCCCCTCAACCCCACCCCAAGCGCTCCAGCGCTTAGGAATTGCGGCTTCCAGGGAACCCCTTGGTGTCTTCAAGGCAGTCAGCGCGCCCATTTGGATCCCAGAGGCATCTCCCCAGATGACTTTTCTGGGGTTCTGGGGCTTAGCTTGGGACGACTGCAGTCACCGGGGGAGGGCCAAGCATCCAATGGGCTGTTTCTCGAGCGTTGCGCGGGTAGAACCCGCGGTCCAGCTCCTGGCGCGGTTCGGGGTCAGTGAGGGAGACGCCCCCTTTCTCCTGTCGCATGTTCTGCTGTCCAGCTGCCTTGGGCGCGGGCTGTCCCAGGTCTCCGCGGTTACCCCGGGATAATGGGCGTGTCTCTCTCTCTCTCTCTCTCTCTCTCTCTCTCTCTCTCTCTCTCTCTCTCTCTCTCTCTCTCTCTTTGATCCTGGCTCCCAGGTTGTAAAATCAAAGCTTTGAGGGCGAAGACCAACACTTACATCAAGACCCCAGTTCGTGGGGAGGAGCCTGTCTTTGTTGTGACGGGCAGGAAGGAGGATGTGGCCATGGCTCGGAGGGAGATCATCTCCGCCGCGGAGCACTTCTCCATGATCCGAGCCTCTCGTAACAAGAACACAGCCCTCAACGGCGCTGTTCCTGGGCCGCCCAACCTGCCGGGACAGACCACTATCCAAGTGAGGGTGCCATATCGCGTGGTGGGGCTCGTGGTGGGACCGAAGGGCGCCACGATCAAGCGCATTCAACAGCAGACACACACATATATTGTGACACCCAGCCGGGACAAGGAGCCAGTGTTCGAGGTGACCGGGATGCCAGAAAACGTGGATCGCGCTCGAGAGGAGATCGAGGCTCACATTGCCCTGCGCACCGGTGGCATCATCGAGCTGACAGACGAGAACGACTTCCATGCCAATGGCACAGACGTGGGCTTTGATCTGCATCACGGGTCCGGCGGGTCCGGGCCCGGCAGCCTCTGGAGCAAACCCACCCCAAGCATCACTCCTACCCCTGGCCGCAAGCCCTTCTCCAGCTATCGCAATGACAGCTCCAGCTCGCTTGGCAGCGCGTCGACAGACTCTTACTTCGGCGGTGGGACCAGCGGCAGCACAGCTGCCACTTCACGCCTGGCGGACTACAGCCCTCCCAGCCCCGCGCTCAGCTTTGCCCACAATGGAAACAACAACAATAACGGCAATGGGTACACCTACACAGCGGGGGAAGCCTCGGTGCCTTCCCCGGATGGTGGTCCTGAGCTGCAGCCTACTTTCGACCCAGCTCCCGCCCCACCACCTGGGACACCCCTTCTCTGGGCCCAGTTCGAGCGATCGCCGGGAGGTGGGTCTGCAGCCCCAGCATCCTCTTCCTGCTCTTCCTCGGCATCCTCATCTGCCTCGTCGTCCTCGGTGGTCTTTCCCGGCGGCGGCGCCAACAGCACACCCTCCAATGCCAACCTGGGGCTGCTAGTGCACCGCCGGCTGCACCCGGGCACCAGCTGCCCGCGCCTGTCTCCGCCCTTACACATGGCCCCAGGGGCGGGCGAGCACCACCTGGCTCGGCGGGTTCGCAGCGACCCCGGCGGTGGAGGTCTGGCCTATGCGGCCTATGCTAATGGGCTGGGGGCCCAGCTCCCGGGTCTGCCTTCGTCGGACACTTCGGGCTCCTCCTCGTCCTCCAGCTCCTCCTCCAGCTCTTCCTCCTCTTCCTCTGGGCTGCGGCGCAAGGGCAGCCGCGACTGCTCTGTGTGCTTCGAGAGCGAAGTGATCGCCGCGCTGGTGCCCTGTGGCCACAACCTCTTCTGCATGGAGTGTGCCAACCGCATCTGTGAGAAGAGTGAGCCCGAGTGTCCCGTCTGCCACACCGCGGTCACTCAGGCCATCCGCATCTTTTCCTGAAGGCAGTGCGCGCGTGCGTGCACTGTGCAGGGAAGGAGGGTCCCCTCCCTAGACCCTCATTCCCTAGGGCCTACCTGCCCAGACGCCTCTGGTGCCCTCCTCTTTCCACCTCTCCCTCCTCACTCTCAGAGATCCCAGAGGAGCTTGGAAAGCTGTAGTATCCGCTCATTTTTAAAATGTCATTTTTAAACAAAGGAACTTGCCAGGATCTCTGCATCAGGAGTACTGTAGCCTGGGAAGCCTCTGACCACCTGAATTGCATGCTCTATAAATAATAGGAACGGCGACATTCTAGTATCGATAGTTTTTACACTGTACTTAATAGGAAGCTTCCAAAAGAAGAAAACCCCACAAGTTTTCCATTTTCTTGAAGTAGGAGAAAAATGAACAGTAATTATGAAGATGATTAATAATTGTGCTATGGGATGTGTGGACTGTTTCGTGTGTTTCCCTTTGTGGGTGGGTTCCTACAGCGCTCGTTCGTTCTAGACACAAGTGGATCCTTTTTGAATGTTCATGGAAGGGCCAGGAGTTCTGGACAACCAGGACCCTGCAGCTTTATTAAAGTTAAAACTGTAACATATCTCTTATATATTAAAAAAAAAAACCTTTAAAAGTTTTAAAGAGAAATTGCATTAATACAGATTGAAGTATTTTATTCTTTTTTTGACTTGAAAAATTATATTTCATATTGCAAAGATGTTTACAAGTATTTTAATTTAAGTTCAGTGAACTTTTTTGTAGCTGGGTTAAATCTTTTTATTTTTAGTATGGCCTTATGGCAAAGAACACTGTATTATTTTAATAATCACACAATTGTGACGGATTACAAACCATAAAATGTATAACGTTTTGAGCAGTATTCTGTTGGGATGGAGATTTTATAGGTTCAGACAAAATCTTCTAGATCTGCTTCACCCAGCATATTTTCTATTCAGTGATATAAAGCATATTTTATTCTATATTATTACAAAAACGGAAATGTATAAACATGTCAAAAGGAACCGTTGACGCTTTCTAACATTTGTATAAATAGAATTCAGTGCAAATTACAGAAATTCTGTTGCACCGCTATAGTTTTAGTGTTTCTATTTTAATACATTTGTTTACCACTTGTTTATGTATATGTAGGTGACGTTACTTGAGCTTAAATGTACTTTACTGAGCAAAGTTTAAAAAACAAAGTATATTTTATTTTATGATAAAGGGCCTTTAACCTCATGGTCAAATACTAATATTATATTTGCTGAGACAAGATTTGAAATTGTATCAAGAGTTTTATTTTTCTGACATTTAAAGTTCTACATAATAAAGGTAAACTTAAGTAATGGTGCTACTTCATTTTTTAAGTATTTCTATATAAATAAAACATTGAAGAAAAATCAGTGTTGTATGGTGACTTGATTTTTTTTTTTTTTAAGCCTCTTGGGGTGTAACGTTGGAAAGAAGCATTTTTAAGTGATAGGTTGAAATGCAGAGCTTCCAAATATATCATATAGTTTGTCTATAGAGCAGACTCCTGAGAGGGGAAGGATTTGGTTGGACGGATGGTCACAGGTAACAAGGTTTTTTTGTTGTTTTGTTTTTTAATTGCAAACAATTTACTAAACCAAGATCAATTTCTCCATTAGACATGGCTGACATTGCTTAGGAACTATGGCATTTTGGGGGTCCCCAGAACAGGGTTAGTTTTCTTTTGTCTTGTTTTTTTAATTAGGAGACAAAAAGAAAAAGAAGTATTCAAAAGAAACATTTGTACTTTCAGCCCACACAAACCTGTTACATTTACCCAAGAGTATTAAAAACTTAAAAGACGAACGTGGCAATCAATTTGAATGTTGATATTACAGATAAAGGACCCGGGGCTTAGAGAAGTAATAGCTCAACTTTAGGTAGGGGCTGGCTGGCTGGTGGGTGGGGTGGGGTGGGGTGGTGGTGGTGGTGGAGGTGGTGGTGGTGGTGGAGGTGGTGGAGGTGGTAATGGTTGGTGGCTCAGGGACCCTGACCTGCTGGCTTACCTGAAGAAGTAAGTCCCACTGAGGGCCTTCTCTCTGAGAAGGAAGGGGTAGAAGCTCTGCGTGCTAAGGGCCTCCCTGGATTTGAGCTTGGGTCTTATCAGGCTTCCTTGGGGTCAGGCTAATTGGTGTTGACAAGCAGCAAGTGTTAACTGTTTGTTGTTGCCTGAGGGAAGTTCCTGTGTGCTTCTGGCAGCAGCTCCGCCTCACCCCTAGCCACGGGCCTCTGTCAGGGGAGGGGCAGCTACTTTTACTTGACCTGAACTTTCTTTAGTAAAGCATACTGAGGAATGACCGGGCCTTGCCATGGAATTTCCAGCCAACTTCCTGACTGGGCGGCCGACCTCTGGAAAACAGTCTGGGGCAGGAGTGGGTGGTGGGCGCTAAGCTTAGCCGGTGGCTCTGAAGAGAAAGCTGTGACGTATAGATTGTTCCTCTTGGCCCCTGGGCGTTCACATTTTGTTGTTAGGAAACGGAGCCCCTGCTTCCACAGTTCCTGGTCTATTAGTTCTAAAGGATGAGCTGGACATGCCTTCCGGGGAAAGGAGAGAAAGGAGTGGCCTGCTTAGAGAACTGCTGGCATTATCTTCAGCTCTGGGAACTTCCGGGCTCTGTTTACCTCCTTTGCTTCTCCCTCAGGACAGGACTTAACCTAGACCCGGCAGGGAGAGATATTGTCAGGTCTGAGTCTCCTCCCTTCATTTAGCTTTCTGGGAATGCCTAGAACAGAACCGAAATTCTTTATGCATCTGTGTTCTTTAGTATTGTAACTTTGGGTTTCTGCTTTAGCACAATGAGTTCAGATGATACAAGGGAGAAAAAGCAGCAGCAGAAGTCTCGAGTGCCACCCACCCCCAGCCGATGGACTATTTATTTACTTAGGCCTCTTTTATTGACATTATAAACTTTATTGTACAAGACTTAGAAATAAACAAAAATATCATGCACCCAAATTAACTGGCCCTCACGTCTATACATGTCAAGGGACTTCTATATAGTTGGAATACGCATTAGGGGCAGAAATAAAACAACGAGCTAAATCTGAGGCTCTCTACTTGGGTGGCATGCATGTCTTCTTTCTTTGCGTTTCTGGTGTGTGTGTGTATGGGTGCACGTGTGTGGTGTGTGTGTATGTGTGTGTATGGGTACATGTGTATACATATACATGCAGATCCTAGGTGTCTTTCTAAAACCCTCTCTACCTTAGTTTTTTTTTTTTTTTTTTTCTGATTCAAGGTCTCACTGAATCTGGGGGCCAAAGAAAGATCCCACTATGTGGGCTGCCCCTCAAGCCCCAGAGATTTCAAGGTCTCTGCCTCTCCAGCACTGGGGTTATGTTACTGCCATGCCTGGCATTTAATGTGGATGCCGAGATCCGAACTCAGGTCCTCTCTTGTACAGCAAGCACGTTGCTGACTGAGCCCTCTTCCTGGCCCCGGCCTGCGCTTCTCTGCGGTGAGAGGAGGACCGCTTTGTTGACGGGAATTTGGGAGATATTTTAGTACAGTGTGGCTTCTCATGGCTCTCTAACATGGGTTTTTCCTGTCACCAGCAGGGAATACAGACACATTCTAGTGATCTTGCAGGACACTGGCTTGTGGTACACATGAAGCCTTTTACTCCATCCTCCAGGTGACTATTGTGGACCACTAACTACAGGGATGACAGTCTTCCAGCTGGAGACAGGGTGCCACATTTATATTCTCCAAGCCTCACCAGCTTCCCTTTCTACCTCCACACTCTGAAATCTATAGTTCCACAGCAACAAAAGACCGCGTCGCAAACACCGCTCCCTCTAATGACTATCTATGGAGAATACTGGCTCTCAACAAGGCTGGGTTTGCGTGCCTTTTCGATACACACACACACACACACACACACACACACCACACACACACACACACACACACACACACACACACACACCAATTTGGCATTCACTCAGCACATTTTTGGTTATGATATAAAGTTGCAATTGTGTCTTAGTAAATAGAAGCTAGAAATACTGCTAACACCCACAGTGTTCAGGATAGCCCCGTAACAAAGAAAGCCTCAGCAGTGGGTCTTCCATAATGCCCCTTCCCTGCTCTGTGGCTTGGCCCCAAGACATAGGGGCCTCCAGGCTGAATTGTGGGTATTTTGGAATCACCTACTACCCCATGCAGCTGGAGTTATAACTGGATCCCCTGGTGGAGCAGATCAAAGCAAATAGCCTATCACAGGTCACAGTCAAGGGCTTCTTTTTACTCATCAAAGGAAGAGTTGTAGATGGAACCTAGTTAGAAGCAATGATTCAAATTGGTGGCTCAAAACTCTTAAAAAAATAGTATTTCTGTTTCATTTAAATATTTTGTGTTTTTGAGAATTTCATACATGAGTACTATATTTACGACATTTTCACCCCTGCCTCCCTCTCCCCCTCAGACTCTTCTGTACCTCTACTCAAATTCATAACCTCTTATTATTTTTATTATTGTACATATGTACACACACACAAACACACACACACAACACACACACATACACACACACACACACACATACACACACCCTACTAGGTCCCTTTGCTCGTATGCACATGTGTTTAGAGATGACTGGTTGGGATTAGATAGTCTATCAGGGTGTGTGTGTGTGTGTGTGTGTGTGTGTGTGTGTGTGTGTGTGCCGTTTATGAGTGCCTGAGGAGGCCAGAAGAGGGCATCAGATCCCCTGGAGCTAGAGTTGCAGGCAGTTGTGAGCTGCCCAGTGTGGAGGTGCTGGGAATTGAACTTGGGTTTTCTGGAAGCGCATCAAGCTCTCTAAATCACTGTGGCATCTTTCCAGCCTATAAATTACTTAGTTTTTTGATTAAATTTATTCTTGATCTGGGTGTGGTGGGCACATGCCTTTAATCCTAGATCTTGGGAGGCAGAGACAAGTGGATCTCTGTGAATTTGAGGCCAGCTTGGTCTACAGGAAGTTCCAGGACAGCTAGAGTAACATAGTAGAGGGACCCTGTCTCAAAACAACAACAACAACAACAACAACAAAAGGTGTGTGTGTGTGTGTGTGTGTGTGTGTGTGTGTGTGTGTGTGTGTATTGTGTATGTGTGGGCTCACTTGCCATGGTCTGTGTGGTAGTTAGATGGCAACTTTGTGAGGCGCTAAGGACCAGACTCAGGTCACTAGGCTGTTGTGGCAAGTACCTTTCCCACTGAGCCATGCCCCTGGCCCCCAACACACTTTGACTCACCTTTCTCCTGTGATCAGCCAGGGTGGGTGGCCTTGGGACTCCAGTGTGCTCTTCCTCAGTGAGATACAAGTCGTCCACTCACAGTGTCCCAAGCAGACCCAACCTGAGTTTTCAGCTGTAGGCGAACGCTCCTTGTTGTCACGTTCCCTGTGGCCAGTGACAAAATAAAGAGAAAAATGTCACACTGCTCCTGGTGTTCGCTGAAAACTTTTCCTTTTCTGTATTTCGTGAGTTCCCCTTATTTCACCAATATTTGTTCTTGGGGAAACTGCCAATATCTGTAGTGAACTTTAGTCATCAACTGATGTAGAAATTTTATCACAAAGTCTCATCTTCTCAAGAAATAGGGACAAATTTACCCTTCCTAAGGAGTTTCAAGTCTGCTAACCAGGCGGGCTAGAGTAGTCGCCTTGAAAACTCCATGGGTTTAAGGTAATTTGGGAAAAGATGGAAAGTATGCTGGGTACAGTCACCTACCCACCCCGCACCTACCCAGAGAGAGGCAGAGTCTCACTGCGTAGCTCGGGCTGGTCTCCAACTCACTGCACTGTCTTAGTCTCCCAAGTCCTGGGAATGCACGCCTAGGTTGGCATGCCTGGTATACACTCCTCCTCCTTAAGAGGTAAGGTGATGGCAGGCATGAGGACTTCAATTCATTCCCCAGAACTCACTTCAAAGTGCTGGGTGGACATGGTGGGACCCTTGGAATTCCATGACTGGAGACCTGGAGACAGATAGATCCTTGGGGTTCACCGGCCAGCCAGCCTGGCCTACTCTGTGAGTTCCAGGCCAGTGAGAGACTTGTCTCAGAGGAGGTGAGAGTATTCTTAAGGATGACACTTGAGATTGTCATCTGGCCTTACATATATGGGCATGCATGTGTCTGTGTGGACATGTATATGCACATACACATTAAAAAAAAGAGGGTCCTTCTGTTAGGAAATACAGGCCCTTCTAACGTTAACTCTGTCCCTGTTTTCATCCTCCTCTTTTTTTTTTCATGACCTTGCCTACTAGTTTTTAAAATGTTGGATACTTGTATTCCCCTGGGAGAGCCAAACATGCTTTTTAAAAATTGGATACTCTAGGAAGGTTAAGCATCCCTTCATTGGCCCAGTGGGTGTTGATGACTTCCACCATTTATTAAGCTCCTCCCTCTGATGCATGCTCTGTAGGGGGTTGAGGAGGCTGATGTAGATGTCAGCTGTCTGGCTTATCTAAGGCTACACGGACAACATCAGAACTAAGACACCATCCATGGGTCCCTCTAAATCCAAAGCTCCCATCTTTAGCAGCTTAAAAAACTAGCTTTAGCCAGGCGGCAGTGGCACACACCTTTAATCCCAGCACTCGGGAGGCAGAGCCAGGTGGATCTCTGTGAGTTCGAGACCAGCCTGGTCTATAGAGCAAGATCCAGGACAGGCACCAAAACTACGCAGAGAAACCTTGTCTCGAAAACAAACAAATAAACAAACAAACTAGCTTTAGTGAGTGGCATTTTCAGAAGAAGTGAGTGCTCATTTGTAACAGAACAGCCAAGTGGTGCTCCCATCTAACGGATAATGCCAACTGAAGCAGCAGGGACCCAGCTGCTATAATGCCTCCAGGTCACAAGAACTCTAAGAGCATCATGCTTCCAGGGGGCTTTCTGAGCCCTGACAGTTCTATCCACCTTTTGGTGATCAATTGAAAAATTAGTGTTAAGCTCATTCTGTAATATATTCTTTAAGGATTAAAAAAAAAGTCACTGGAAAAAAATAAAATGAATAGAGAATTCACTTAAAAAAAAAAAAAGAAAGCCATGGACTAATTTAGATAGAAAATAAAAGATGCCAAGCTAGTGACTGAAAAGAGAAACGTGGTTAGTTGTTTAGACTAGAATAGCGAACTCTTGGCTGGGTTGTTCCCCTCTCCCATGGAGTCCATTGTTTTGTGCATTTATAGAATTGTAGGATGTAGGCCTGTTCTAAAAATGGCAAGATGGGCTCAGTGTGTTCATCTGTGGAAACAGAGGTGGGGTCTCTGCTAGTTCCTTCTTCTCCTCACTGTGACGGAGGGATGAGGCTGTGTCGAGAAGAGAGCTAAGGAAGTGCTTGTCTGTCTCCTGGTTGAGACAGGTTGGTACGGAATCGAGAAAGAGCTATCAATCTGTCAATCCTGTGCGTGTCCGGCCGGCCGGAGGGCCTGGAGGGCCTGGAGGCAGGCGCTCACACCTGGGATGTCAGGAAGTAGAGAAAAGACTGGAGACTCTGAGGAGCTTAAGGCCCATCCCCCACCATGACCCACTTCCTCCGGCTAGGCCCCACCTCCAAAAGGTTCAGCTACCTCCTCAAACAGGGCTACCAGCAGAGATCAAGGTTTCAAACACAGGAAACTTTGGGGACATTTGGTATTCAAGCCGCCACAGTACCCTGAGTTCTGGATGTAGCACATTTGCCCAGGCCCTCTTTGGGGCTTACAGGGTACCTCGTGCCCTGTTGCCAAGGCCTGTTACAGTTGCAAATTTCCTGGCCTTTTCTCCCCACCAGGCTGAGAAGGCTTTGAGAGCAGAGGTCTTACCCTTCCATCTCCAGACAGCCTGGCTACAGTGATGATTGGCATTTAGTGAAAAGCATGTAAGCCTCCATGCCCATCAACAGGGGACAGACTCATGAAGCTATGGAATCTGCACAATACAACTTGCTTAGCTAGTACAGTAAATGAGGTGCCACTGAAGGCAAAACGCAAAGGAAATCATGTTTGTTGTTGTTTAAAAACACTTGGATAGATGCATAGAAAAATTCTAGAAGGTGATGACGGTAGTCTTTATGATGGCTCTCAGTGATCTCATCCCCTCTGGGAAGCCACTCCCCTTGAAAGTAGGTAGTACTTAGTGACTTGATTTTAATGAGCAGAATATGCCCTCAGTGATTAGATGCCACTTTTGAAATGAAGGTTGATATCTCCTCTCCCCTCTCCTCCTCTCTCCTCCCACATCTCCTCTCCTTCCCTCCCCTCCTCCCCTTCTCTCCTCTCTCCCCTCCCCTCCTCCCTCCTCTCCCCTTCCCTCCTCCTCTCCCCTCCCCTCCCCTCCTC